CGACCAAAATTTTTGGTCGCTAGTTTGGTCGCCAATTGAGGGTCGGCAAAAGTAATTCGCGACCAAAATTTTCGTTGGTCGGCAAAAGTTGGATTTGCCGACAAAATTTTTGGTCGCTAAATATTTAATTACCGCGACTAATTTATTTTGTCGCTAAAACACTTTGGTCGCGAAAAGTGATATTTTCCCGACCAAATTTCTTAGTCGCCAATTGTCACATTTCGTGACCAAATTTTTTGGTCGCCAATTATCACATTTCGCGACCAAAAAATTTTGTCGCCATTTGTTACTTTTTGCAACCAGAACTTTTGGTCGGCAAAAGTGAGTTTCCACGACCAAGAGCTGTTTTGGTCGGCAATAGATGTATTTTTTGCGACCAAAACTCTTGGTCGGCAATTATCATTTTTTGTGAAAAAGATTTATTTTGGATGCCGCAACTAATAAATTGGTCGCCAAAGCAGGAAAATAATACACCTGTATATTTAGCGAATTCATAATCAAAACAAGACGAATTCATAATCAAAACAAGTCTTATTATAAAATTTTTTATATCCAAGTTTCAACACATAACTCAACAGCAGCAACATTGATTCCAAAAAAAAGGAACGATTCACAAAACCCTATTCTAAACCCCAAAAACCAAAAAACAATTCATTCCAACAAAAATTTAACATAATCAGCATCAATTTCAAAAAAAAGAACATCTGGTGTTAACAAGGTTGAGTATTGTTGTTCTGTTTTATGTAGGGCATCCAACTCCTTTCTGGCCTCTGCAAATCTCTCTTTGTCGTACGCGTCAACAAGGTAAACTACAGAATCCACCTGCATGATGAAAGAAATTACAGAACACCTTAGATTTTATGGAAGAAGGAAATTTAACTTCCAACATCAAATCTAAGGAATATACCTGTGGCCAACCATAATGAATGATTCTTCGTACATTTAACTTGTCAATCCCCATTCCAAAAGCAATTGTTGCAACAACCACCTAAAGATTTGACATAGGGATCTATATTAATTCTTAAATTATTTCTTTTAATAAGTATATTAACTCTTAAAATATAAATAAAAACACAATGAGTGAAGAAATTGCCTTGCATGCAGTGAAAAACTACGAGCAAAAATGTTTTTTTTTTTTCCATGAAACAATGTAAAAAGCATAACTTATAAAACTAATGACATCAAGTGCTTGATGAGTTCTTAATAACATCTTACACCTAATCTGGTGGCTCACCTTCTCCAAGTAATTGGTAATAGATTATAGGACCAAAACATGACACTAATAGTGCGTAGTAAGACAATGATAGGCTGTCAAAAACATAGAAGAAAATTGCCACCTTGGATCTCACATGAGTCATTCAAAATTGCCTGGCCAGCTCAAAGAAAATTATTGTTTTGATTATATAAACCCTTAGATTTTTTCAGCAAAACAAACAATGTAACTCTATGAATGGCCTACTATAACTCAATTGCCCATAAAAATCAAAAAATTTAAACAACCCAGCTAGAAATTATAACTTTGCCTAATCATATAAACAACAATACATTTCATATTCGGAAAGACTAACACAACCCTATGCATATTGTTGAAATAGTCTCAAGTTTCATGTCAAATAGGTTGAAACAATTTGGCATAATCAAAAGCTAGAACTACTAAAACAAGCATACATCTATGTGACTAAATCTCACAGAATCTGGAAGAAATTGAGTGTATACAAAAATTAAACGAATCAAATTCGTGCCATAAGTGTCCAATGGCTATTATTTGATCCCTAAGGGAAAAGAAGATGCAACTAATCTGTTTATTAATTCATTTGCCTCAGTGCATGACTGTAGTGATGCACTAAGTCTTTCATTAAGGTCCACCATACCGTGCTTTTGCTCAGCTGACACTCTCTGAGCCTCTACCAACTCCTTCTGTGTGATCTCCAATGAATTTTGCAACTCTTCAAGTTGATTCAGATAAGATTTCGAAACTGATTCTTTCAAATCTTTCATTTCCTGAAGAACAAAGTTGGCAATTCATTAAGGACAATAGTTGGGTTAAGGCCTGTCCAGCAGAGTTAAGACAAAAAATAAACAACTTAAAATCATTATCATTATGATGTAAATAACCCAAATAATTAAAACATGTTGATATATGGTGTAAATCTCTGTTACATAAACACTTCATAGTGTGAAATTCTGTGTCAGATAAAAAAAAACAAAGATGGGTAAGGATATGTTTTATACTAAAATATTATTAGTGATGTTCAAAGTAGAAGTTCCTTATCATACCCTTTCAACATGTTTCTGTGCTACATGGATACATCCAAATGATTAAAAGAAAGCCATATCTAACAAATTATGTTACATATGAAGTTCCTTATATAGTATGGTGGAACCAAACTAGGATTCATGTTCATTAAGAGATCTTACGTGAATTTTTACGTGTTGTCAAGCTTAGATAGTATGGTAGACTTGAAGAAACATTGGACAATAAAGCAATCAATGAATTCACCAATAGACAAAGAATAATTTGTATTGCACTCTTTTTTTTTAATCAGCAACAAAAATTATCATTGCACATATTTGCACAAACTATTCTTTGAATTTTTAGGAAGAATTTTAACTTAAAAAAATATATTTTCCATACATAAATAGATAATAAATCCACTCTCAATTTTTCTTCTTGCGACAGAGCTTTCGCGCTCCTACATACCCAAAGTTTATTCATTACTTAACGTAATAAATTCATAGTATTCAATAATCTATCTATGGTAATAAAATTTGATATCTTTTTCCATCTTTTTTTTACCTTAAAACAGGCAACCCTTTAAGAAGTCTTCTTCTTTATGCTCTTTTCCTCTAGTAACAACTTCAATTCTTTATGAGAGAGAGAGAGAGAGAGCAACTATGTGTATTTGGATGAAGTTGAACTCAACATAAAAGAGAGAAAATATATGCAATCAATAAAGGAAGTTGAAAGATTCGTTCACAGATCAGCACTAAAGTCTGATTGCCTACAACCTCCATTATTACAAGTTCCACACTGTAATACGGGTATACAATTTGTCCATTAAAAAAATAACAAGAGCCCACAAGTAATTTCACGAAGATCCTTCTCTATTGTCATGTCTATTACAAGAATAAAGTTGCACAATTAACAAAGGCAAACTATATCACGATGATGTTTTCTGCGAAAATATATTCCCTATTATTAAAGCAGGAAACAAAAAAAGATTGCATAGATCAAGGATAGGCAACAAAAAAAGGTATCTCAAATGACTTAAAAATGCAACCAAAGTTCAGCCCGTACAAAATTTCTACTTTATCTGTACATACCAAAAAATGGGGATGATGGGGATGATGTTCTACTATGCTTTACCTGTACATATCAAAAAATGAATAGGAAAGATTACTGCAGGAATGAATAGATGGATGTACACATGGCCTGTCATGAGTCACCTTAGTTTCAGAAAATTTATAGATATTTATAAAAGAAAAATGCATACTGGTATTTGGAATCATCTCTGTAGCACACCACCACTTTATTGAAATAGAAAACTAAGATAAAGCATGATAGATCATGATCTTTATTTTTCGCTGCAACAGAGAAAGGTAACAACTATTTGAGAAATAATTGGTGAATTTCAAGATAAATGAGTAAAAGTAATTTATGGTCAACTTTACATAAATAATGTCAAAAGGCCAACATAGCCATCAATTCCAATAAAAAGGAACCCAATTCAGAACTCACTTTGTCCTTGTCCACTTTTGATAAGTTCAGCTCCTCTTGAAAGGATTTATTCAACTTCAGTTCCTCTACGAATGGAAAAGAGATCAGGTGAGAAATTTAAGATGACAAAATGTGATATTACAATTGGACATTGAAAGAGTAGGGAAGAACCTTGTAATTTTAGCTGAATATTTGCTAACTTGTCACATTCTTTCTCAAGTTCTAAGCCCAAGTTATTTATTTCTGACTCATGAGCTACCTGAATCGCTGCCAGAGACATGTTTTTCTCTTCTAACAAATATGCAAGCTCCTAGAAAGCATTCATATATGTGTTGTCAACTTCAATCATTACGGACAAAGAACAAAAATGAAACACACTAACTAATCGATTTCAAGAGAGGAAACATGAAAAAAAGAAAAAAAGAAAAAAGAAAAAAAACAGAAGTTGCATCATAAACACAGCGAAGTGATAACTTCTCAGGGAATGTGCTAATCCCAAAATTAAATTTTAATAAAAAATATTTAATCCATACAAAGGTTCCTAAAACTAAGACATTTTAGCAAGCTAGCCAAAAATCAACTTGGAAATTGTAACATCAGGATCCAATCTAAGACACAAAATAGGTGATACATATTCATTAACTATATCTCACTCAAACTATGATATATAATTGTCAGAACAAAACAGAACAAAAGGTACCATTACCTTTTCATTGCCCTGAATACCAGATTGTTTTGATTCTATCTTAGTGTGAAATGTGAATGATTTCAGGCTGCATAGTTTGTGCAATTGACGCATCTCTCCAAGGAACCCAACAGAATTCAACACAAATGAAGGTTATGTAATTACTCCTACTATATGGTTACGATGTAAAAAAAAACCTCAGTTTCAGACACATTAGAACAACACACCAATAACAGAACCCTAACAGAAACCTAAATTCCACATGAAAAACTTCAAAATCAAAAATCCAAGTGCTCTGTAGTCAAAGTCCCTAGTTTATTTCTAATGGCTGCGTAAGCGAGTGTCGAGAAGTAAAAAGGATGCAAGAAGCACCCTTGGAAAAATAAGAAGGAAAAGATCACTAAAGGCCCAAATTATTAAAACCAGTGCATCACAGAAGAAATTTATTAAAATGCAAGAAAAGATCATCTGAGATCAAGTTTCCCTTTTGCCACATTAAACAGGATGTTTTTTTAACAAAATAACAACTCACAAATTCAAACTTCAATCATTCAGTCCCAAGTAAATATGGCATTTATATAATGTAATAGATAAGAATTAAGGGCAACAAAACAAGATGCTTACCTCTCTCCCGTCATAGTTGCAAACTATAGTGTTTGTCACCCCCATACGATGTAAATTTGCAGTAAGCGACTTGAGTCTTGACTCCTTCATCTCATTTGCATAAATTATACCTAGTAACCATTGCATTAGATAACAGGGAGGAAAGAGTCATGGGATTCATATAGATACTAGGGCAAGGAGAAAAAAAATCATCAAGGACTTTGCCCAAAGACAATTTGTTGTTGGAAACTTTTTGAGTGCAAAAAAATGGTTATACATACATCAGCAGAATAAACATTATACACCAACTTGTTTGACATCAGAATAAATGAAGATTTGTATTTAAACTAAATTTTAAGAAAGTAAATGACTGCCATTTCGATTGAAAATTCCTCCAAGTTGCTCAATAGACAGTGTCACACTTTATTGTGTAGGTGGAAATAGGGTAAGCCTGTATCTCCCCGCATTAACAAGCAAATGGACACAAACTCATGCATATATTCACTTGAATATGCTCAACCCAACAAGTTGTGAGTAAGCCATAATAACAATATGAATTAATTGAAAGCATAAGTGCAATTGAAATTATAGAGTCAAGATGGAAATCACTACACACCATTGTTTTTCATAAGAGCAGCAACGTAGGTTGTTTTACCACCAGGAGCAGCCCTGTAATAAAGTATAAATTGCAATTAAGAGGGAGAATGCAGATAGAAAGAAGCAGTGAAGATAAAACATGAGACGTGGACATGGATACCACATATAATCCTATTCCTTTGATTGCATAAATGTCCATGACTAGTGTGTGAGACAGAATACATCAATCAACTCTACCATGTCTCATAAAAAGAAATGAACATGAAAAAGGCAAGATATTAGTGTCCCTAAAGTGAGCTTTCTTTACACTGTTTTGTCTCAGATTGTATCAAAGGTTAAATTATGCTACAAATTCATAATATAAGAATTGTGAAATGGAATCACAAGATAACTACAGCAATTTTCAAGGCTGGATGTATGTAAGGATGCTTTTGTTACTTACCTTACCTGTCAAAAAAACAACATTAACATGAAGAAGAGAAAGAGGAAAACAAAAGACAACATTTAAAGTATAATAAAACAAAAGAAAAGAAAGAAAGAGAAACTTAGCCATTAAACTTGCTCAAATAAAAATAAGAAACTAAAAACACAGGATAATGCAAAAAAATTCAGATAGATAGCAAGCAGATATTTCTGTGTGAAAGAGTTCAGTTACTTACGCCATATCAACAATCCTTTCCTTCTCTTGAGGAGCAAGGGCCATCACAGGCAAAAAAGAGCTTGCACTTTGCAACTGTAAGCAAACTTACTATGAGCGAGAGGAAGTCAGAAAGAACACTAAGTACTTACAGATTCAGGAAAAAAAAAAAAAAAGACTTCTAGATAGAGTGTACAGCTGATACAACTTTCTTTTGCGAACATCAATTGGGAGAAGGAAGAACAAGAAAACATGCTAGCTAGTGATAATACCATGTAATAACCAGCCATATATTCAGGAGTGGCACCAATCGGAACTTGTGAATCATACGCAACAAGTCCAACCTGCAAATTTGAAAGAAGGTTAATTAAAGCTAAACCAATACAAACAACACACAGATTGAAATAGAGAAAAGAGATATTGAAATTGATCGAACCTTTAGACGAAATCGAACTGCTTGAAGCTCTGAGACGGCGTAGAGATCAAGCACAGAGAGAGAGAGAGACAGAGAGAGAGAGAGAGATAAGAGGCAGGAGAACCGTCGTAGGATTAGGGTTTGATAAGAAGAGAGATCAATCATGGAATAGAAGGAGGGGTAGTGTATGTACCTGAAGGATGAGGTCGTCGTAGATATCGATGATCTTGTTGTAGGATTTGGAAGCCATTGTGTTGCTGTGGATCGCTCATGACGGTCAGATCTCGACCTAGGACTCAAATCAGATTCAGATCTCGACTTTCTTCTCGGATTCGGCGGAGGCACAGGCAGAGGAGAAGGAGGAGGATCATCGACGATGTAGATGTGGCGATCTGTGGCGATGGGGTGAGGTTTGGCGGTGGAGGAGAATTTGAACAAAATGTTGTGTGTAATTGTAAACAGAGAACAGGGGTGGGCGCGAGATTTCCCTCTAAAAAAATTTCGCCTTTAACGACTAAATTCATTTTTTGTCGTAAAATCTCAAATATATAACGACTAATTTTTTTAGTCGCCAAATCTCAATCAACGGTGACTAAAATATTAGTCGCTAAAAATATTAATTTGGCGACTAATTTTTTTGGGTTGCTGAAAATAAGTTTTTGGCGACCAAATTTTTGGTCGCCAAAAAATATGTGACCTTCCGCGACCAAATTTGTAGTTGGTCGGCAAATGCATACCACTTTCTGCGACCAACTCATTTTTTGGTCGCCAAAATATAACCTTCTGCGACCAATAATATTTGGTCGCCAAAAATAATGATCATTCGCGACTAATTAAAATTTGGTCGCCAAATGTGATTTTTTTGCGACCAAAATTTTTTGGTCGGCAAAAGTGGTCGCAAAATGTGTAAATTCTTGTAGTGAAAAAACAAAATATTAAACTCTTCAATATTTGTGACATTAAGCTCATCTCTACGAGGGGTTACCCAAACCAAAGTCATGAATATTTGTTAGATTTGCTGGACTTTGAGACATCTCATTAAAAATTGGAACAATTTAAGCAATTGTTTGTTATGTGCCCCATCATTTCACAAGTGTCACAAATTTCTTGCCCCTTTTCACTAGCCAAAAGTGGCTCTAATTTTTCAACTTCCATGGCATGAGAATTGGTTTTATCAAACTCATCATTATCCCAAAATTTTGAAATTTTTGATAAGTGATCAAAATAAGTCTAAGCCTCTTTAGCAGTTTTATCTAAAAGTTCACCATGGCACATCTCTACAAAATGGCGTATTTCAAAACATAAACTCTCAAAGAATAAATGAACGAGACGCCAAAGTTTCGTAAGTACGACATGGGCAAGAGATTACTAGATATTTAAATCACTCCCAACATTGTGAAAAAGACTCACCTTCTATTTGATAAAAATTTATAATTTGTCGCTTCAAAAGAAGGGTCTCATACGTGGGATAAATTTTTTTCAAAAATTATTTTTGGATCTCTTATCATGTTTCTATTAATCTTGGGCTTAAGGAATAAAATCAACTCTCAGCCTTGTCCTTTAAAGAGGCTGAGAACAAGCTCATTAAAGCCACTTCATTGCTAACATTTGTTGGCTGTATAATTTGTAAAAGCCAATCACAATTCAACACGTGATACGAAAGAGGGCAATTTGGGGAGTTAATACAAGTTGCCAACCAAAGTCAGGCACGTATCAGTTCGTATTGGTAATAATGGATCTGCGTAGCATTGGAACAATCGAGGGATATAAGGTGATATGGCCTAACAGTTACTCACAAAGTTTAAATTCAAAATTAGGAGGGAAGCCTAACTGCAAGAGTGGCATAGTGGGATTAACTGTGAGAGAACATGTTCAGCAATTATGGGAGGACATTTCGACGGTTGGAAGCCCACTTCGATAGTTATCATTGAAAAGTATAAATAACAGAGAAGGCCCCAGACTGAAGGATCCAGACTCAGATTAAAAAATCAGTTTATCTACTTCATTTTTCCTTCCAGTTTTACAGTTCTTTACATTTCTGCACTTCAATTCCTGTATTGCACTCCATTTCCTAGGAGTAGTTTCAAATAGTTTGTTGTTGTTGTAAACCTTTACGAGGCTGGGTCAAATCATTGTAAGTTTTCATTTACTTAATGAAATTCAGATTCTGAATTGTTCTTCATTTGTTGTTATTTACTAAATTCTCCTAAACAAGCCACCAGTAAAAGTCCTCTTCATTGAGGCTGAGAGAACTAAAACACAATCGTCTGATAATTGGTTGGCAATTAGTATTTCGTAAGCACTAATTGATCCTTGCTGGCACGCTTAAAATTACATTATTAACCTTTGAAAGACAAAAAGCCAACATATATTTTTGGCACGCCCGGTGGGACTAATTCAAATGGCTAGACGTAAGAGACAAGGAGAAAATGAATGCTTAGAAGAATGTGTGGAGGGAGAGGTACAAGTACTTGATCTAGAGGATAATATGATAACACATCCTGTGGAAGCACCTATCTCATCAAAACCTATGGTCGAATAGACCAACAATTCAGAACATGCATCACATGTTCAAAATATTGGACGAGGCTATAGAATTGGACCATCCACTGTTCCATCTACCTAGCCAATGAATCCATAGGGAGGCATGGTACATGCCATGAGGCAGCAGTTAATGTACACAATGGAAAGATGGGCAACATCCTTTATGGATTGAATGAATTCCCATCAACCAACTAGCACAAGGCATATGGAGGAAAATTCAAATGTTCCTCAACACAGATTGGCTAGAGATAAACAACCTATGCATAGTAATGGGCATACTAATGGTCAAACTAGTAATCAAAATTATGAAAGACCATCACCCATACCTCAATCATGGTATGAGCCTCTTTCGAGGCCTGTGATAAATCAAAATGCCTCATTACCTAACACCGAAGCCATACAAATTGGTGGATCTGGGCCAACACAAGAAAATGACATGAGAGTGTTTCCAAATCCCATGTTCGAAGCCATACCTGGCACAAGGGGGTTCACTAATCCTCTGTTCGAATTCACACCCGGGGGGTTGGAAGATTTTCTTGCGGCTGGGAGATAAACAACACATGTTCCTTCTATTACAGCACCTTTCACAGATCCTTTCGTAAGATAGGCTCAAAGAGGTCAACCATACCCTCAACAGCAGCTAGTATCATAGGGACAGCCAGTCCCAAATATACCTCCCTATGGACCAAGAGGACCTCAAGCACAAGGGTTTCCACCTAATCCTGTGTTTGTTCCTTTAATGGTAGTCCAACAAGCACAAAATATGGTTCCTAGGGATCAAATTGCTGATATTGTCAGAGAAATGTGTGGACCTATGGCTCGGGGGGTTCCAACTTCTGTGTATAGGAAGCCATACCCAGAATGGGTCGATAGGGTGCTTGAATACCCAAGGGGGTTTAGGATACCAGACTTTGCTCTCATTTATGGAAATGGAAACTAGTCCATAGTAGAACACATTGCTAGGTTCACAGTCCAATGTGGTGAATTTACCAATAATGATTATATGAAGTTAAGACTTTTTTCAAATTCTTTAACTAGGGCAGCCTTTGTATGGTATATTAACCTTACACCTAGTTCTATCCAAACTTGGTAGTAAATGGAGGAGGGATTTCATGCCCAATTCTTGCAAATAGAGCCAAAAGTTTCCATGGTAGATTTGGCAAGGTTGAGCCAAAGGCCTCATAAGAAGGTTGCTCAATTTATTGCTAGATTCAAAAGAGCATGAAACAAGTGTAGGGTCATTTTACCAGAGCCTGAATTTGTGAGATTAGCTCAAAATGGTTTACAGTTTAGGCTTCGAAAGAAGTTTGATTCAACTGAGTTTCGAGACTTAGTGGAATTAACCTATAAAGTGTCTAGATATGAATCTTTACTTGAGAAATAGCATGATCGAAGTAATGCATCATATAAGACTTATTATAAGGACCCTAATTATGAAATTGATACAGAAGAGATTGTAGGAAAAGAGCCTATGACCTATGAGGCGTTAATTTATAAGGACATTACAATAAACCAACAGTTCAAAAAGAAAGACCTTCATAGGAAGTATTCTTTTGATTTAACAAAAGGAGATGATATTTTTGATCATATGCTTGCAGTAAATTTCCTAAAGTTACCAAAGGGAGTTAAGATCCCTACCCTAGAAGAACTTAAAGGGAAGATGTACTATAAATGGCACAATTCTTGGTCTCATTTAACTAAAACCTGTATTGTTTTTCGGGACAAGATCCAAGAGCAGATTCGAAAGGGAAGTTTAAATTTCCCAGCCAAAGCAGAGAAAGCTATGGGGATTGACACTAACCTATTCCCAGAGATTAGGGAAGTTACAGCCAATGTTGGTGTGCCAGATTTCCAAAACTTATCCTTGAAGGAATTGGAGGAGGTTAATGTGCAGATGCATGTTGCCAGCCAAACTGCTTTGAAGAAAGATACTAGAAGTTCACCAGCAAATGGACAGAGCTTTGCGGACCAAAAAGAGGACTCTAGTGAGGAGGCGCTAGATGATGACTCTTTAGAGATAGCTGCCATGAAAAGGATGTGTCCCAAATGTAGGTTAAGTTACAAATGGTTGAAAGGTTTCCCAATTTATGGGAAACAATATTACAATGATGTATAGAGGCACCCTAAACCAACCAGTACCTACAACAAGAGGCCATACCCAGTTGGTCCCAGACAACAGCCATTCTTGGTTGGACCACTAGCCGCTAGAGTGTATCCCAAGAGTAAGAGACCTCTGTATGAGTTCAGACCACCCAACTACTACATGATGGAAGGCAATTATCCTGAGAAGAGGCCTGAAGTGGGCTCAAGTTATGGAATCAGAGCCAAAGATTGGCCTTCAAGATCAGCCTCAAACAAGATGGAAGGTAACCACCCTGATAGGACGCCTGAATTAGGCTCAAGACAGGGGATTAGGGCCAAGCAGTGGCCTTCACAAGCAGCTTCAAAGGCAGAAAGAGCTAGTTCAACAATTGAACTAGTGAGTTTATGGGTACCTGGGGTTCCAGATTGGTTTGTTATGTAGAACAAGCCTAAGGAAATGCCTGCCTATAGAAGTGTCTTTAGAGACCAGGGTAGAATGATTAAACCTCCCTTGGTGGCTCCAAATAATTGGGTATTACTAAAGCACCCAAAAACAAAGGAACCATATATGGTTCTAGTAATTTCTTGGTCTCAAAGGAGGAAGATCTAGCAATTGTACACTTAGTACCAAAAGGATCTGAAGGAAAGTGGAGAGACTTCTTTATTGGCCCAGTCAAAAGACCAGATAGAGGAAAAAGAAAGTCCAAAATTGGATCCTAGTCCAAAATTGGCCCCTCAAAACAAAAGAAGTGTCAGCAAAGAGTAGTTGGCTAAGGTTCATATTGAACTGAAAGCCAGGGAAAGATCCAGCTTAGCAGGTCTTGAAAAGGCGTTGATGGAAAGCGATAGTGAGACAGAAGGAGAAGTTG